TCCGCCGGGGTCTCCTCACCTGCACGCTGCACCTCGAGCCATGCAAGTGTACGGGAAAGACTAAAGGGCGACGGGGGGGGGAAGGCAGAGCAGGAGTATTCAAATTTAAGCGTCACGAGGAGCCAATCAGGAGCGAGCGGCCGGAGTTTGGGGAGCCCGCTTCTTCGCTTTTAGTCCTCCCCCGCCCACTTCCCACCCAGGGAGAGCTCGCAGCAGCTCGCCCAGCGTTGGGACCTACCACTGCCGGGGGCGCCCGTGGTTGCCACCGCCTCCTCTCCGCCGGGACCTGCTGCTGCTGCCGCTGCTGCTCCCGCTTTCCGTTCCCCGCCTCCTCTCCTCTCCCGGGTTCTTCTCTGCCGCCGCTTCGCGCTTCTTCTGTGGCCGCTGCGGCTTCTCCTTCTCCTCCAGCGCGGGTCACGCTTCCTCCTCACTGTCGGGCAAGCGAAGCCAGCCCAGGGGCTTCTCCTCCTCAGCCTGCCTGTCCTGCTCCATTGACCCCTCTTGGCTTGCCTGCCCCCCTGAGGCGGCTTCCCTCGGCGGGGGCTCCGGCTTTCGCTCTTCATCCAGCGCCTCCTGCGAGCCGCGGCCAGAGGCGCCTCCGCTTCAGCCACCGCAGAAGGAGTGCTGCTGCTGCTGCTGCTGCTTGCCGCGGCTAAGGTTTGAGCCCGCTTCCACTCTCTCTCTCTCTCTCTCTCTCTCTCCTTTTCCCCCCCTTCTCCCTCCCACAAACGGAGAGGAAGAGGCGGCTTTACCAACTCCACGTCGGTGCGCTCCGACGTTCGCCTTTTGGCAGAGGGAGAACCCGGCCGCGAAGCGCTAAAAAGCCACCAGGAGAGCAAGAGGGTGTGATTCGGCCGTTAACTTCTTCGCCTGGGAGTGGATGGAGAAAGGAAGGGGAATGCGATTGAGCCATATTTGCTGCTTCTTTTATCAGCTGTGTTTCCTGTCAAATGGGATCACTTCAGGTAATTTCAGTTTCCTCTTTCCTCCTTACCTCCCTGTGTTCAAGAGAAAGGAGGTAGTTCTTGTAAAAACTCCCTTCCCTCCGGGCCACATGGACCAAGGCCAAGTATTAAGGTCCAGTGTTGAATGAACGGTGTGCCTTGTTAAATGTGGTTTATTTTCGTGGATGACATCACAGTCCCGTACCTTTCTGTGTGGTGAGTTCTGCACGCTTCACCTGCCACCTGCAGAGTGCTTTGCATCTCTTTCCAGCACATGTGAGGCACTGGAGTTGCAATATGAGGCCTTTCAGTGATTATGTAAGACCACTTCTTCCTCTGCTTTCAAGAAATCCGTCTTGTAGAGAGGAGTCCAGGATGAAGGACAGAAATGGTGAAGCAAGTTTGCGGCTGTACCCATGCAATAGTGCAAATGTTTTGTGAGAGGCTTCATGGACAGTTTCTTGTACCTTTTTGGTGGGCAGTTCTGTGTCTGGTTTTATAAGAGATGAAACTATAGTCTGTGTAATAGTGCTTACTGTTAGGATCACTGACACATAAACCATGGTTTCATTGGCATTTAGTATGTGCAGAGTTTCTTGCATTATAGAACCATAGGATGATTGAGTTGCAAGGGGCCTATAAGGCCATCGAGTCCAACCCCCTGCTCAATGCAGGAATCTTCTAGGCATCCTTCAGTCTCGAGAGACTATGGTAACATGCTCTGAATCGAGGAGTGTCCTCTCCAGAGCATAAAGCCTGGGTAAAGTAATATGGAGGATAGGCTTTTACCCAAGCAGCAGATCCCCCCTCTCCACATTGCTGAAATGGTCCAATGGAAAGGCAAGAGCCAATACAACTGGTTCCAGCAACGTCGCAGGAGTTGGCAGAACGATACGAACTGCCTTCGGGACTCCAACTCTGGATTTTGCCTCACGGTTAACTCCTGAAGCCTTTTCCATCAGTCGATATAGCCACAAGGCAGTGGAGGTTTGAAATCGGAGTTTTCCCTCTCCTAGATAGACTGCCTTCCATGGCTGGCGAGCCCCACCTACCCGGCCTGCTCTTTAATAGTGTGGAAGTATGATTCAATTGTCCAGCTTTCTCTTAAATGCCTCCATTGTTAGAGTGCTCACCATCTCCTGAGAAATTTGGTTCCATTGTTACACTGCTATCTTCTTATTCTTTTGATCTGGCCTTTAAGATAGATGGAACAGTCTTTCTGAACCTAGCATCCTCCAGGTGTTTTGAGTTGCAGAAATGATGCTTCCTGTAGGCTGTTAAGGGTTCAAACCTAGCAATCCCCCTTCCGTGTTCCTTCCTTTCAGCTGATACTGTAACATTCTACAATGTAGGGTGAATGTGTGAACCTCCAGATGTTTTTTAGACTGCACCTTCCACCAATTCTAGTACCTATGGCCTGTGGTCAAGGGATCTTGGGAGTTTCGGTCCAGCAACATCGGAAGGCCTTTACATTTCCTGTGCTTGTTGTAGGCCGCAGAAAGCCACAGGTTCTTGACAAGCTGTTCTTGTAAAAAGCTGTTTAAAAATATCTTTTTCATTTAATTTAAAACATGTATATTTCTCAGTATCTACTGGCTACTTGAGTCCATAGAAACTAATCCTTTATTTTGAAGTGATTTGGATGTGCATCAAAACTAGCACCACTCAGCTACTAGAATTCACAGTTAGAGGGGAAAAACTAAACTCCTGTGGCAGAGTGAGGGCTTGGTGAAAGATTGTCTTTCTTAAGGCCATCAATTGAGCCCATGAAGCTGCAGAGACTTGAACTGTGAGCTAGATGAGGGCATTCTCCTACCCACTACTGCTTGCCAGCTCATAACATTAAGCTGAATATTTAATTGAGTATTTAAATAGTTAAATGAGTACATTTATGTACTCATTATTATATTATGACTTTTTAAAAATTATAAAATTATAGGCTATCTTTAGGCTTAAACAAATACTGTACTATAAATACATACTTGTATTTAAGAAGATCAGGTAGGTATAGTATAAGTAAATAAAACAGAAAATCACTTCCTCAGTCTTAAATACTGATATGAGATCAATTTCTTTCATCCTTGTTTAGCATAGGTTGTGTGTTTTCTGGGACACCACATGGAAACAAACAATATGGTATGCATGCCCAGCTATATTTGTGGCACTTTGTAAGGAGCCTGATCTGGACAACAGTGATACAATTGAATGAGGTGTTAAAATGAGACTGGCTTATCTTAAGTATGGCATGCATACTAAAATACCATTTAAACCCCCTATTATGGTCAGTGCATGATTTAAGACACATTCCAACTGCACACTTTGTTTTTTACCTGTAGGTCTGCAACCTTTGGGAGATTCTGAGGAATGGGAGATTGTCTATCCAGCATTATGGAGCAGGGGCCACCAGGAACCCCTTGGAGGCAGCGGTGCGGGAGGCAGCTGCAGCACTGATGGAAACTGTGGGAACAACAGCAGTAATATTAGTGCTACCTCTATGTCTACTCAGGGGGTGGGTAGTTCTCGTGAGGTCCGCTCGGTTTCTTCCTCATCTGATAGGCAGTTACATCCAGTTGGAGAGGCCTTGGAGGTTGAAGTCTCAGAGGATGAATATGAATCTCAGGAGTTCTATCACTGGTCTCCTCTTCCTCAGGGATCTAATGCTACTTCTCAGCCACCTCCTCCCCCACCTCTATCTCCTTCCCCAGAGGACGGAGATGAGGTGTTGCTTAGAATACCAGCTTTTGCTCAGGAGCTCTATCTGCTGCTGAAGAGGGACATTCGCTTCCTGGCACCAGGCTTTGCAGTGGAAGAACGACTAATGAATGAGAGGAGTCTTCCATACTCTGTCCAGAGCCAAACAGAGAGATATTGTTACTACAGTGGATCTGTGCTACATTATCCTGGATCCTTTGCTTCCTTCAGCACTTGTGGTGGTTTGGTAAGGCTTGAAATATTAATAATGTTCCCATCTGTGTCTTTCCCTCTTCTTCACTGGTACTTCATCTTTCTTCAGCAGATGATGTTTTCTTTTGAAATTCTCTTCGCATTGTCTCTTTGTCACCCTCTCCTTAGTTTTACCTGTCCTATTCTCTTGGCAAGTTCCTAGCCAAGTTCTCTAACTTTATTCCCTGCTTTTCTTACCCAATTCTTTCCTTAGGTTATTTTTTTTCATGTTCCCTACCTGTGTTCAAAATTACTTGTTTTCTTTATATTGTAGTATTTTGATACATTTCTTTACTGCTTTCAATTTGTGCCCTGCTTTCCATAATTGTCAAAAGTGTCAGCTGTACAACTGTAAACACTAAAGTCTGTATTCGCTTGAATGCAGGCAAGTGATATCAAGTATACTTTACCTGGAATCCTGTTCACACAACTCTGTGCACATAAGGCTGCTGACATATTCATGGATATCCTAGGGGTGGCATACTGGTCAGTGGTGTAAGCAGCAACATGTCTTGGACCAGCCCTGCTCTGTAATTTCACAGGCGGGGTGTCAGGGTAACGTCCAGCCCTTTATCATTGTTTCATTTTCTTATCAAATTTGTAATCCTCTCTTTCACTGTAGTGTTCAAGGTGATTTGCGCACATTATAAAACAATAAAAACTGATCAAAGATAAAACTGGTCAGGTCAGTTTTAAAGACAGTTACACTTATTATATATAAGCGTTAATAATTTAACTGTTTACCCATAGCACTAGGGTTTTGCTTTGACTTTATCTAAATGTGGAGGTTCTTGTTTTGGAGAGGTTATGGGTATCTATCAGTATCCATAGTCTCTAATACAAGACCCTCTGCAAATTTGTCTAATATTTTCTGAAAACTATCTGAAACTGTATGTCTTTCAGTAATTTGTAAGTCTCCTTGGACACTTATGGGAGAAAGGCAGGATAGAAATAAAGTAAATAATAAATCTAAATCAGTGGCATGTTGCATCACATCTTGAAGTAATGAATTTTACAAGTCAGTTATATGCTGTAGGAAGAAAGTTGTACAGTGGTGTCTCAACTTACGAACATCCCTACTTATGACCATTTCGAGTTGCGACCAGCTCCGAATGCAAAATTTTGCTTCTATTTGCAACTGAAGCTTCCACTTACGAACAGAAAAAGGCAGGGAAAAAAGAAAGGGAATTCAAATTTCTAACTGTAGGTGGCGACGAGGATGCTTCTTCGTAGTTCTTTTGCCCCAGCAGTTAGAGCGGTGGTCAGGGAACAGGAGTAAATTACCTCAAATGGGGTAAAAGTGAAAATCCTGGGGGTAATGAGCAGAGCGCTACCCCCC